GGGGACTCGGCTATTAACGTGGACAACAGCCCATAAATTACCTGGTGACACCACGTGCTGACCGTTGATGCTTGATCTAGGCTAGTGACGGTCCGTGTTTTACGGCTGGGAAAACCTTCCAGATCGGAGGGGGCCGAGTGGACCGTCATGGACGGATATGACCTAGGGTCAGGCCTTAATTAAAATCGTTCCCACGGTGTAGAACGGGGGACGAGTACTTTAGGAGGGTAGACCAGAGTCTTGGGAGACACTCTCGACGGACTCTCGACACAGACTCTCGGGACACGCACTCGGAGACGGACGTACTCGTCTCGGATAGCTAGGTTTAGGGGAGACAGACCTGGGTCGTCTCTGTGAGCTGGTGGAAAGCCACGACATGTTTTAGACTTAGGCTAGGCTAGACGGTTAGGGACAAGTAGGGCAGTCGAATTAAGGACTATAGTTGTTGTAGATAGTTGTGTATTTTTCTTCTTGTGTTCCATGTGGTGGCGGGTTAATGTTAGATGTTGTATTTTGTGGCGAATAAATAGAGATTACTGAAGTTGGCTTTTATTTATTTTTATTTTTCTTCTTCTTGTTTACGATCCCCTGACTAGTTCGAACGGATTAGAGAAGGGGGTACGTAACAATATGAAATCAGGCTTCCTGAATACAATTATATATTGATTTTTATACGATTATAAATATTTTGTTATTGGATTTTTTTATTAATATTTTATACGATTTCATATTTATATTTTAAGCGTTGAGAATAAGATCGATATACTTCAAATTATGAATTTGATTAAAATCCTTTTCCCTATCTTTTAACATTTAGAAAATCGTGATATTTTAAAAAAATGTAATAATTTTTTTAAACAAGTTTTTTATTTTATAAAACTTTAAAGCCTATCGACTTTATGTCAAATGTTGATTGACCTTTGCTCGACTGTTGCATGGTCCATGCATGGTCCATGTCCACGATCAATCGAATTAAACTGATCACGTCAATTTAATTCTAATTTCGACTCTTTTCATACCGCGAAATTTGAATTTCTCGTAAAACGCCGTGGTTGGTGTTGAGGGGAGGGGGGGGGGAGGTGATTTAGGGGGGGGGGGGGCGGGAGAATTGACATGTGAAGTAGAGTTTTATGAGCATGGATGACTAAGTCGGGGCTGGGGTACGGTTTAAAAAAAACAAGGGTAAGGTTCGCCTACGATCGTTAATCTGTCACGGGCTAATAGTTTGGTACCGGGTGGAATGTGTCACGTTCATACACAAAGTCGTACACTGGTGTGTTGTGAATAAATGTCGTGCACTGGTGTGTTGTGTACATACACAAAAGTCGTGCACTGGTGGGTTGAGTACAAAAGTCGTGCACTGGTGTGTTGTGTACATACACAATAGTCGTGCACTGGTGTGTTGTGTACATTCACAAAAGTCGTGCACTGGTGGGTTGTGTACAAAAGTCGTGCACTGGTGTGTTGTGTACAAAAGTCGTGTACTGGTGTGTTGTGTACAAAAGTCGTGCACTGGTGTGTTGTGTACAAAAGTCGTGTACTGGTGTGTTGTGTACATACACAAAAGTCGTGCACTGGTGTGTTGTGTACAAAAGTCGTGTACTGGTGTGTTGTGTACATACACAAAAGTCGTACACTGGTGTGTTGTGTACAAAAGTCGTGCACTGGTGTGTTGTGTACAAAAGTCGTGCACTGGTGTGTTGTGTACAAAAGTCTTGCAATGGTGTGTTGTGTACATACAGAAAAGTCGTGCACTGGTGTGTTGTGTACAAAAGTCGTGCAATGGTGTGTTGTGTACATACAGAAAACTCGTGCACTGGTGTGTTGTGTACATACACAAAAGTCGTGCACGGGTGTGTTGTGTACATACACAAAAGTCGTACACTGGTGTGTTGTGTACAAAAGTCGTGCAATGGTGTGTTGTGTACAAATGTCGTGCAATAGTGTGTTGTGTACAAAAGTCGTGCTATGGTGTGTTGTGTACAAAAGTCGTGCAATGGTGTGTTGTGTACAAAAGTCGTGCACTGGTGTGCTGTGTACAAAAGTCGTGCACTGGTGTGTTGTGTACAAAAGTCGTGTACTGGTGTGTTGTGTACATACACAAAAGTCGTACACTGGTGTGTTGTGTACAAAAGTCGTGCACTGGTGTGTTGTGTACAAAAGTCGTGCATTGGTGTGTTGTGTACATACAAAGAAAGTCGTGCACTGGTGTGTTGTGTACAAAAGTCGTGCAATGATGTGTTGTGTACATACAGAAAAGTCGTGCACTGGTGTGTTGTGTACAAAAGTCGTGCACTGGTGTGTTGTGTACATACACAAAAGTCGCGCACGAGTGTGTTGTGTACATACACAAAAGTCATACACTGGTGTGTTGTGTACAAAAGTCGTGCAATGGTGTGTTGTGTACAAAAGTCGTGCTATGGTGTGCTGTGTACAAAAGTCGTGCACTGGTGTGTTGTGTACATAAGTCGTGCACTGGTGTGTTGTGTACATACACAAAAGTCGTGCACTGGTGTGTTGTGTACAAAAGTAGTGCACTGGTGTGTTGTGTACATAAAACAAAAGTCGTGCACTGGTGTGTTGTGTACGTACATAAAAGTCGTACACTGGTGTGTTGTGTACAAAAGTAGTGCACTGGTGTGTTGTGTACATAAGACAAAAGTCGTGCACTGGTGTGTTGTGTACGTACATAAAAGTCGTACACTGGTGTGTTGTGTACAAAAGTCGTACTCTTGTGTGTTGTGTACAAAAGTCGTACACGGGTGTGTTGTGTAAATAAGTCGTGCACTGGTGTGTTGTGTACATACACACAAGTCGTACACTGGTGTGTGGTGTACATACACAATAGTCGTGCGCTGGTGTGTTGTGTACAAAAGTCGTGCACTGGTATGTTGTGTAGATACACATTAGTCGTGCACTGGTGTGTTGTGTACAAAAGTCGTGCAATGGTGCGTTGTTTACATACAGAAAAGTCGTACACTGGTAATGTGAGGGTAAGGAGTAGCAGGAGTAAGGAATTAAAGTTGGGGAGGGGGGGGGGGGGAAGCACATTTTCAAATGAGAATCAACGGTTAAAACGCATTTTGTATTTTACATTTATACATAATTATAAAACAACAATAACTTGTTGATTAATTTTATTTCATTAGTAGACTTTTAATCCAATGCAATAAAAACAACTTTTAATCTAGATGTTGAATTTTTAAGAAAAGTACAATCAGAAAGAAAATTAACTTTTCCTAAGCGAATTTAAAAACAATATCAGAAACTATATTTAATAACAATAGTTGTAGAAAGAAAGTTAACTTGTTCTAGCTAAATTAAAACCAAAAATCTAATGCGAATAGCGCTCTCACATTCAGTCAATTATTTAGAGCGAATATGAAAAGAAACGTGCCATTAAACATGCTATTTCGAACAACGGCAGATGGGACGTATTTGCCCGGAAATTAATCTTGATCGACTGGATGTTCTAAAAATATCAACGGAAATGGCTCGTTTAGATATACTTACTTACTTAATCCTCATCACTCCCTGTGGAGTATAGGGCAACAACGAATCTCCGCCATTCCACCCTGTCCTGGGCGAGCCACTTTAGTTCATGCCAGGTTTTGCCAGTAGCCTGTACTTCTTCTTCCATCTCCCTCCTCCATGTTCCCAGTGGTCTTCCTCTACTTCTCTTTCCGGGTGGGTTCCACTTCAGCGCCATGTTGGGGAGTCTTTTTTTGCTCATGCGTAGGACATGGCCCAGCCATCTCCATCTCCTCGTTCTAACTTCTGAGACAATGTCGTTTAATCCTGTCCTTCGCCATATTTCCTTGTTCGGGACTTTGTCGTCCCACTTTATCCTGAGGATGCGTTGGAGGGATCTTCTTTCAAAGCCTCTGAGTCGGCTGTCTACTTTCTTGTTTAGTTTCCATGACTCTGCAGCATAGAGGAGTACAGAACGTACATTAGACTTATAGATCCTTATTTTAGTTCTCTGCTGCAATGAGGATGATTTCCAGATCTTAGCGAGTCTGTTGAAAGCTTGTGCTGCCATTGCTATTCTAGTGGCAATTTCTTTCTCCATGCTGCCATTTGCTGATATATAGCTGCCGAGGTACTTAAAATCTTCGACCTCTTCTAGCTCTGCTCCATTCGCAAAGGTCTTGAGAGCACTTTTGGTTTTTATTTTCATAAGCTTGGTTTTTCCGGAGTTTATCTTTAGCCCAACGCTTTTGGCAATTTGCTCTATTCTTGTGGTTTTCGCTTGGATGTCTTTTTGGGCATGTGAAAGTAAAGCCAAGTCATCAGCAAAGTCACAGTCCTCTAGGTGGTTGGTAAGTTCCCAAACAATTCCTCTTGGCTTATCCTCAATGGCTCTTCTCATAATCCAGTCTATTACCACCAAAAAGATAACAGGTGAGATGACACAGCCCTGTCTGACTCCTGTTTTTACCTTGAACCATTCACTTTGCTGATTTTCGTGTCGCACACAGCATTGGTTATCACAGTACATGTCCTTAAGTATGTTTATGACTTTTCCTGGAAAGCCATATAGCTCTAGTATCTTCCATAATGATGGATGGTGGATGCTATCAAATGTTTAGATATAGAGAAGGAAATATTTTTTTTTTGGTTCTCATATATATATATATATATATATATATATATATATATATATATATATATATATATATATATATATATATATATATATATATATATATATATATATATATATATATATAAATATAATATACATGTATGTTATTGGTTTTAATGTAAATGCTCACCTGTCGTTTTATATAAAATATATGTATATATGTATATATAGGGTCTACACATATGTATTTGTAAATATTTTGTGTATATAATACATATGTATATGTATATACATATACATTTTTTTGTTTATATGTAAATATAACATTATATATTCAAGCATATCTCACACATATAATAGTATGTGTAAGTGATGATCACCTTGTATACTTGACGTGTTTTCCTGTCCCTAGGATCATGAATGTTTTCCGACCACGACTCAAGCGACTGTGTTTTAGGGCGCCGGCCCTGAGACAACGACTGCGGAGAAAGCTGGTCTTCCTCTCCCGTCTAGTGGCCATGACCTTGCTCTTCGTGTTCTTCGTGGCCTTCGTGACCCCTGCCAGAAATGTGGTGGGGTACTTCATCCTGCCCGCCTCCTGGTCCCAGCTCAGCTCCGGACAGATCCTGCACATGTTTTACCTGGAGGAGCAGAGGTTCCCCGTGGAGATGGGGGAGGGGTTAACCTGTGATGCTGTTGAGGTGTTTTCATTGGTTTACACACTGTTTTATAATTATCTTAATAACATTTGTTCAGTGGAAGATTGAGAAGGCGGATGGGGGGTTCATTTGGGAGGTGGTGTCGGAGGTAAATGGCGGGATTGACAGGGAACAGTTTCTTCCAGGCAGCTCAGCCCTCCCCCCCCCCCGAAGAAAGTCTAACGAGATGGAATTTATATGGAAAACATATACTTTTACCAGTGGCCCCCTACCACCGGAAAATGTTGTCCTTCCCCCCAACCCCCCCCCCCTCCGAAAATATCAAGTACCCCCTCCCCCCCCCCCCCCCCGGAGAAAAAAGTCTGGAAAAAACACTGACAGGGAGTAATGTCGGGTCCATCAAACATTCCCCACAACCCTCACAGCCAACGATCAGGTCAGTCAGGGTAATGTCCCCCCCCCCCCCACAGACCCAGCCACAACCGACGAGACAAGGGGGTAACGTCCTGTTTATCTTTTCTCTAACCCCCTCACCCATAGTCGACGAATAGTTCAGTCAAATTACAGGGGGGGGGGTAAAGTCCTGTTTATCTAATGTCCCCCCCCCCCCTAACAGTCCCCACACCCATGCACAGCCGACGAGATAGGGGGGTAACACGGCCGACGATTAGGTCAGTCAGGGTAATGCCCCCCCCCCCTACATCCCTCACAGATCGTAATGTCCTGCCTATCTAACGTTTCCCCCTACCCCCCCCCCCCCCGCATCCCACACAGATGGTAATATCCTGTATATCTAACGTCCCCCCCCCCACAGTTGACGATTAGCTCATTTATATAACAGGGGGTAATGTCCTGCCTATCTAACGTTTCCCCTACCCCCACAGCCGACGATTAGCTCCGTCAACTGGCAGCAGATCATTGACGACATGCCCAACCTCCCTGCCTATCTAACGTTTCCCCTACCCCCACAGCCGACGATTAGCTCCGTCAACTGGCAGCAGATCATTGACGACATGCCCAACCTCCCTGCCTATCTAACGTTTCCCCTACCCCCACAGCCGACGATTAGCTCCGTCAACTGGCAGCAGATCATTGACGACATGCCCAACCTCCCTGCCTATCTAGCGTTTCCCCTACCCCCACAGCCGACGATTAGCTCCGTCAACTGGCAGCAGATCATTGACGACATGCCCAACCTCCCTGCCTATCTAACGTTTCCCCTACCCCCACAGCCGACGATTAGCTCCGTCAACTGGCAGCAGATCATTGACGACATGCCCAACCTCCCTGCCTATCTAACGTTTCCCCTACCCCCACAGCCGACGATTAGCTCCGTCAACTGGCAGCAGATCATCGACGACATGCCCAACCTCCCTGCCTATCTAACGTTTCCCCTACCCCCACAGCCGACGATTAGCTCCGTCAACTGGCAGCAGATCATCGACGACATGCCCAACCTCCCTGCCTATCTAACGTTTCCCCTACCCCCACAGCCGACGATTAGCTCCGTCAACTGGCAGCAGATCATCGACGACATGCCCAACCTCCCTGCCTATCTAACGTTTCCCCTCCCACAGCCGACGATTAGCTCCGTCAACTGGCAGCAGATCATTGACGACATGCCCAACCTCCCTGCCTATCTAACGTTTCCCCTACCCCCACAGCCGACGATTAGCTCCGTCAACTGGCAGCAGATCATTGACGACATGCCCAACCTCCCTGCCTATCTAACGTTTCCCCTACCCCCACAGCCGACGATTAGCTCCGTCAACTGGCAGCAGATCATCGACGACATGCCCAACCTCCCTGCCTACGACAGCGACTATTACTCCAACATCGCCAGCAACCCCGGGCTCTATGGGACTAGCCCAGAGTTGGTGCAGGGAATTCTCGAGAGGTAAGTAGAGTCAGGCGGTGCTAGAGTGGAGTCAGACTTTCAGTTGGTGGTAGAGTAGAGTCAGACATTCAGGTAGTGACACAGTGGAGTCAGACATTCAGGCAGTGACACAGTGGAGTCAGACATTCAGGTAGTGACACAGTGGAGTCAGACATTCAGGTAGTGACACAGTGGAGTCAGACATTCAGGTAGTAACACAGTGGAGTCAAACATTCAGGTAGTGACACAGTGAGTCATATATTCAGGTAGTGACACAGTGGAGTCATATATTCAGTTGGTGGTAGAGTGGAGCCAAACATTCAGGTAGTGACACAGTGGAGTCAAACATTCAGGCAGTGACACAGTGGAGTCAGACATTCAGGTAGTGACACAGTGGAGTCATATATTCAGTTGGTGGTAGAGTGGAGCCAAACATTCAGGTAGTGACACAGTGGAGTCAAACATTCAGGCAGTGACACAGTGGAGTCAGACATTCAGGTAGTGACACAGTGGAGTCAGACATTCAGGCAGTGACACAGTGGAGTCAGACATTCAGGCAGTGACACAGTGAGTCATATATTCAGTTCGTGGTAGAGTGGAGTCAAACATTCAGGTAGTGACACAGTGGAGTCAGACATTCAGGCAGTGACACAGTGGAGTCAGACATTCAGGCAGTGACACAGTGGAGTCAGACATTTAGGCAGTGACACAGTGGAGTCAGACATTCAGGTAGTGACACATTGGAGTCAGACATTCAGGTAGTGACACAGTGAGTCATATATTCAGGTAGTGACACAGTGGAGTCATATATTCAGTTGATGGTAGAGTGGAGTCAAACATTCAGGTAGTGACACAGTGGAGTCAGACATTCAGGCAGTGACACAGTGGAGTCAGACATTCAGGTAGTGACACAGTGGAGTCAGACATTCAGGTAGTGACACAGTGGAGTCAGACATTCAGGTAGTGACACAGTGGAGTCAGACATTCAGGTAGTGACACAGTGGAGTCAAACATTCAGGTAGTGACACAGTGGAGTCAAACATTCAGGTAGTGATACAGTGGAGTCACATATTCAGTTGGTGGTAGAGTGGAGTCAAACATTCAGGTAGTGACAAATGAGTCAGACATTCAGGCAGTGACACAGTGGAGTCAGACATTCAGATGTTGCTAGAGTGGAGTCAGACATTCAGGTAGTGACACAGTGGAGTCATATATTCAGTTGGTGGTAGAGTGGAGTCAGCCTATGCTAGATACAATGTTGTGATGTGACCTTGCCTTAGAGGCATTCCCCGAGCCGGCTATACCAGTCCATGTATCATATCCCTAGTTCAGTTCTGACTGTCAGCAAGTCAAACAAAACATATGTAGCTCCACTGCTCTATGTAGCGAACTGTAAAAGCTGCTGTAATTTTCCGAGCTGGATAATGTTTTTAATAAGAAACAGATTAACTCTGCTTCCTCTACCATATACTGTCGTATCTGCTATGGAACAATACTGTAGAACTACAAATACACTATATTGTAGTAATTCACTTGTACGATATAGTACAATTTAAAATTTAGTAGCCTTTTAAATTTGACAATAAAAAGTATGATTAAATAAAAAAAAAATTGGGGTAAAATTTATTCCTTTTAAAGTGCATGCCAAAATAGATCTGAAACGCTATCTTCTAAAGATATTCATCTTTCAAGCCCCCCATGTCCGGCAAATGGCAGCGGAAGTTGCGCATGACGTTCAAAGTCTTCGCCCTGGCCATGAAAGTGTTTAACGTGACGTACTTCCTGTGCGAGGGCACCATGCTGGGCGTCTACCGTCACCATGGTTACATACCCTGGGACGATGACATGGATTTGTGTATGAACGGAACGGATTGGTTAAAAGTTAAGCAGGTAGGTGTTAGGCTTAAGTGTTAGGTAACAGTTATTAAACGCTTGCATCTATAACTGTAGTATAACTAAATACCGAAATGTAGCTAATCCCAAAAAAGGAACTTACCTTATTTACCCCCCTCCCCTTCTATTCACACACAGCTAGATTTTCGGTAAGACTAAATACCGAAAATGTACCTAATAACCAAAGTACCTCCAAAAAATATACACCCTCACATACATATACACTTACCACATAAGCGACTCCCCTAATCGCACAATGAAAACCTCACAAAGTACTTTTCCACATAATTATCAGCTTACCCCACTTTACCTCTTCCCCCACGCACAGAAACTCCCCATTGAAGTAAACCTCCAAGTACTTTACCACAAAAAATCGAATTAGCTCCCACCACACCCCATACGCAAACCACACACACATAAATCCTAACTCACTACCCAAGTAACTATCCAACAAGTACCTACCACCAAATTACCCCGCCACCATACACACACCCGTTAGTCTCGAGTTCGAATCCGGGTCCAAGTCAGTAGACCGTTTTTGAGTCCACCCAGCTCTGAAGGGTACCTAACTCACTTTAGGGTTAGTAAAGGCGGCTGGGCATAGTACTAGCCTCACTATCTCTTAATATGCCTAGGTCACAGAAACAAGTGAACTCTACTTCACTAGCCCATAGACCGTCAGGTTTGAAAGGAAACTTTACTTTACTTTACACACACACACACACACACACACAAATCCTAACTCACCACCAAAAATTAACCCTCCATCCACAAACACAGGCCCCACAAAAATCTCTGCCTACCACCAAATTACCCCCATCCCCCCCACACACACACAACCACCCCACACAAATCCTAACTCCCCACCAAAACTAACCCACCCACCCTGCACCACCTTCCAGATCCTCCACTGCATCCCCGGCTTTGACGTGGACACCCGCAGCTACATGATGTACAAGTTCTTCTGGCAGCAGTCCGACACCA